CACCCTTAGACTGTGGCATTGTCTCGAACGGGTATTGTAGTGTTTTTCAGTGTATTCCGTATGAAGTATATGTACAGTGGACTGCCGTCAAGTAACGCAGGTATGTGCCAGGCGCATCGAACGGCGCTATGTTCAGAATTAACAGGCGATTCAGTCTGTGCCCAGCAATTTCACCGGCGCCACACAGGCCACCGCTGTTAATCAATCGGCGTTATCGACGCCCCCCCACTGCTGTACAAAGTGTCTGAAAAAAACGGGTTACAAGTGAAGAGAACATGTCTTACCCAGGCCGGGCAAGCTAGTCTTGACGCTTTCGAAGAACGTTCCCTCTCCCGCGGTATCGTCCCCCATCCCCGCCTCCGCAAACGCCTCCTCGGCCATCTTCGCCGCCTCCTCTTCCGCCATGCTGCTGGCGGCTGGTCACCTGAACAATCAGTAACACCGAAGACCGGTGCGAAACGTAGCGGTTCAACGAAAAGGGTTCGAGAATCGGTCATTGAAACCGTATCCTGGCGGATTGACACACGAGAGAGTGTCCAGCAAGAACCAGGCTTTTCTCACCACTCACTGCTGTAAAGACTTCAACACAATATTTTGGATTGGAGCGTTACATCTCTAACGGGCAGTCCTGTTGTGAAAATAAATTCTCTGAGAATCACGACGCACCAGGCTTGCGGGAAATTCTAGACAGCAGAGAGAAAGTCACTACGAACGCCACTTTCCCTTGCCTGCCGCTTGCGTCAGAAAGGCAGCGGAACAACCAACGTATCGACATCAGACGGTATGTACCATGTCAGGTGCCAAGTTTGCCGTCGCACAAGCAGCCGTCCACCCCCTATCGGAGCGATGCACCCTTCCTTACCTTTCCTGCGCCTTAATTCTGAAACCGTACATGCGTGCAAATTTCATTGGCCCATCACTCCGATCAAGACTGGTGTCTCCCCACGCATCTATGTACGTACTACCTCTACCGTACCGGTTTTGCCTCGTCCTGAACACCAGGCGGCACCATGGTTGTGCAAGTGATGGCACTCTGCCTACCGTATTATAGCAGAACGACTGTCATTACTTCCATTCGCTCCACAACTCCACAAAACCGTCGAATAGGTACACGTAAAGCTCTCGACGACATGTTTCGGAATCCACCCGTAAAGGCAGCGGCACCCTCTCGGTTGTGGGGCAATCTATTCAGCTTTGAAAGTCGGTCAATGGGAGGGGGTGCTGCCACACGCACAGCTTCGGAACACTCAGCAGTTGATTCGAGGAAGAGAACCTACAGCAGAATGATAGCAGCATGTATACAACAGCAGGTCATGCTCCAGAGCACAAGCTGGGGTGTCCGTGCACCGCATGTACACGGGGTACCCGTTGTAATCAGAGACATGTGGGGGTATAACAAAAATGCATTCATTTATGCAAAGGGTGAGACGGCATATTCGCCTGGAGCGGGCAAAGTGCGTACAACATCGAAATGTCGGCAGCAGGCAACAGGTGCCCGAAAAACGCCCGCAAGATCTGGACGGCAAGGGGAGAAAACGATGCCTCTCCTCCGACTGCAACTACTGCTGCTGTGGCTGTGCACAAAGTACTTTTACACTGCAACACACGTGAGAAAAGTTGTGTGTACGAGTACCGTCGATGACTTGAACGACCTGCTCCTGTTGTGCATGTGTCTCCGGTGCTATCCTCTTGGTCTTCACTATATGCCGACACAGACGAAAGAAAAGCTCGATCATGAGTATTACAGCCAAGCAGTACATCGCCATGCTTTTGAGGGACCACTTGGATTCCTGCTGTGATCAGCGGTTGGGCCGCGTGGCTCTCGCCCGCCGTGTCGCCGTGTCCCTACACAACGTGGGCGCCTGTGATCCGACAAATATGCCAACAGCAGTCATCGACCAGCCGAACACCAGGCATTGACCGCTGTCAGACACGGGACTTCACTAACAAGGGGAAGAGGCATGCCAGCAATACCGGAAGCCAGTTAGAGCCGTACAACTTCTGCCCCACCCAGCTGCTGCTGCTGCTGTATGCTGCATGATGGCCCCAACACCCTAGACCACGATAAGCGAGAGCTAGCGGTTGTGAAAATTGTCTGAGAAAAGTGCGGCACGTGAGGCTTCACGCCGTCAGGCCTATCCCATGGGATCCCAAAACGCTTCAGAGAAGGCAGGTGCTTACCGTCGAGTCACGCGCCAAGCAGCAGGAGGTAGTCACGATGAGGAAGACCCTGTCCTGTCTGCTGTGTGCTTTGTGTGTGCTTCAGCTATTTGTCTGCTGGCTCCGAATCGCTGGGGGGTGGGGTGGGGGGCGCCGCAAAATTCTTCTCGAAAACAAACAAGCCGCATTCCTCGTACACAACCTGTGACCGTTTCATTTTTAAAATGTTCTGTTCTCGAAGACCATGAACGACCACGTATATAGCTGACGGCGCAAAGAAGCACACCCGACGTGACGCGACGCGTCTACCAACAAAGAGACGAACATGCCGCAGATCATCGGAGAACAGAAACGAGGGAGATTCGCTGTCTTTATAGGTTGACTGGCCTGTACAAATTTGGGTTGTACGCTTTTTTGCCTCTTTGTACAAACCCCACTACAGCATACACTGCTGTTTTGTTGGGAGAGAAACGTGATTATTTATTCGTTTTCGGTGGAGTGGAAACCTGGCTTCTCGTGAGACACTGCCGGGCGGGAACAAGGCACCCGTTCGCGACCGGCTTGGGGAAGCTTCACCCACCGACGTCGGCGTACGTTTGCTGCGCACAGTTAGGAAGAGGTGATATTACCCCCCCCCCCCCTCCTTTGAGCGCGGTCATGCTAGACGGAGAACTGTCTAAGTTCTTCGACATTGAGCAGGGGGTCCCACAAGGTTGCACGCTGTCCCCAACATTGTTCCAGGTGTTCATCAACGACCTGTTGGACGTCGTAGAGGCAGTCCGGAAGGGAGTAAAAGTAGGGGACACGGAAACTTCGGTGTCAGGAATGTTGTTTGCGGATGATTTTGTTGGTATGTTGGACACCCCTGAGGGACTGCAACTACAAATTGACGCGGCGAAGAAGTTTACTGATAAATGGAGATTGTCTGCCAACGTTAAGAAGAGTGCCGTCATGGTATGCAACGAAGACAGGGAGGAACCAGTAGAACATAGATGGAAGTGGGGGATCGAGGAGATTGCAATAGTGGACCAGTACACATACCTCGGAGTAGAGATCGCAAACGACTGCTCGTGGAATGCACACATGTCCAAGGTAGCGGAAAAGGGCAAAACACGAGCAGGGAAGCTGCACCCAATACTCGCAAACCGGCACCTCGATACACGCATCAAATTGGCGGTTTTGAAGAGCGTAATCGTACCGCCGCTAGAGTACGCCGGAGAAGTATGGGAAGGAAATAAGAAGGTAGTGAAAGAACTTGAGGCGGCGCAGATGAAAGCAGCGATCATCCTAGGATGCTCCAAGCGCACAAGTAATGCAGCCGTAAGGGCAGAATTGGGGATCCAATCCCTACGGTCGGGAAGAGACGCAAGGAAGCTGACATGGCAGTATCGCATGTGCGGGATGGGAGAGGAGAGGTTGCCAAGAATAGTATGGGAGGCGAAGTGGGCAAACAAAAAGAGGGGTAGACAACCCACGGAATGGGCCAAGGTTGTAGAGGACGTATGGAAGGGGTTAGACATCGACGAAGATGAAACGCTGGAAACGGAGGGTCTACAGGGGTTCAAGGAGAAGATATCTGTTGCTTGTGCCGAGAGAGAAGAACAGAATCTAAGGAAAGAAACCAAGGATAAGGAGGGTCTAGAAGTGTACGGAATGTTGAAAGAAGGAATAGGGTTCAAGGATTACCTACATGGACCAATGGATGCTGGGACAAAGCTTCAGGTCAAATTCAGGACCGGGGACATAGGCCTTCGAGAACGTCGACGAAGACATAGGACGGTAGACGACGAAGACGACACGTTTAAATGTGATTGCGGCTTCGAATGCGAAGACCGTGTTCATGTAGTCGCGGAATGTCCGTGGTACGAAGAGGAGAGGGAAGTGTACATGACTGAGCTGGAAAAAATACAAGGGACGTACAGGGAGATGTTTGAGGCATGGAATAGAGAGGAGAGGACGGCAGCTGTACTGGGGAGTAGGAAGTGGTTCGAAAAGGCGGGAAGGGATATCGTTAGGATAGACAGACTAGGGAAGACATTTTAGAGCCACCTTTGGCAAAAGTAGGAAGGAACGATTGGCCATCGGTGATCGGTCCTGTGGGAACAATGCTCCGTCCTCTCGAGGACGCGTGGTCAATGGTCTAACCGCTAAGGCATGCAAAACATAAGAGTACGCCCTCCCCCCCCCCCCCTCCTTTGTGTGTACGGACGCACCCACGAAAACGCTTCGGCCCTCTGCGGGGTCTGGCGCTGCATCGAGTAGAGGTCAGGTCGTGTAGGTTGTGCATCGATCATAACCTGCGGTGGGGAGGTTGTACGCCCAATGTGCCAATGTGAGCAAGTAATCCCGCGTCTCGAAGAGTAGCGTTCTTCTCGCTGACACGGTGGGATGGCAGCATAGACAAAGGATAAGAGTGTTCAAGGTCGAACCCGGCCTCCCAACCTCCCCACACAACCCTTGGCAGGTTTTGATGGGTGCCCAACCTGTACCTCTCACCACCAGTTAGGGCGTGCGTATCTGGCAAAGAAGTCACGTCAGCATCCCCTAGAAGCGCGGCAGAATACACGTCCTCATCAACCATCAAGAGGTAAACCGACGATGGCTCGACGAGCGAGCTGGGTGACAAACATGGCAAACTCTTGGATAAATCGGACGCCGTCTGGGTTGCCTCTGTGCCCCACCTGCAACAAAGAGCTCGGCTTCTGCCCGCACTCGCCCACGCTCAGAGAGGGCGCCAGGGCGGGCGATAAAGAAGAAACAGGTGCCGCACATTCTGCTCACACTGGAAGCGGCGAAGCCGTGCCGGACACGGGCGCGGTACCACTCGCTCTAAGGATAAACGAGGCAGGCCAGTCTCACGAAAGTGCCTCGCCCGAAGAGCGTCCGAAGCACGGGACGAAGAGGCGGCCTTCTACTGCGCTGCAGGGCAAAGGGAAGCAACGGAGGGTCTTGGTCCAATCCAAGGTGGGTTGGTGTTGCATAAAAAATAACAAGCCAAATAGAACGGTATCCTCACTCTTTAGTATGCGACACGCATGAGCTGGCGAGCTACGCAAATCGCAGCATGTGTTTAGAATTGAGTCACAGCGACAAGTCATAGATGCCCCGTCTACACTTAACTATTGCAGGGCACCCCGGCATTATCTGCACCGGACGAGGAAGACGGCGTGAGGATCCGCCGCAATCCTCCACGCAGCACAAGGACCAGAGAAGAAGAATGCAAAACTCGCCCCAAGAAAAGAGCGAGTCTCGCTAGCAGTGGTGACGGTGGTGGTGGTAGTGGTGCTACGAACGATGCCGCCGTGGATGAGAAAACGCGTTTATTGCGATTCCCAGGGTTTGAAGCAAACGGCACCGGTCAGCAGTGCATCAGCTGCTACGAGGTCGCTCCCATCATGGTCAATTTCGCTTGTGAGGTGAGCAAGCAGAACAAGGGGTAGAAGCGGACGGTGAAGATTGGGACGAGTTTGCAGGCATGAGCCCTACTTTGTTGACACACATCAGGTTAATTTCCAGAGTTGCCTTTCGCCGTGTGAAGTGGTTCCGACAATGACAGTAGCGGTTTTCCCCCATGAAAATAGCCAGGATATTCATGGTATGCAAACCAAACGGAATGCTGTCAAAGAAGGTGCTTCTAGTTCATTTTCATTGATGAAAATATGGATCTGCTTTGCTGCAGGGTGTCGATCAATCACGGGATGAACCATGCAAAGGATCGCCGGCACTCATCCTATCTGTACCATGGAAAGCGCGTTCAGCAGTGGTTTCGGGGAGTGAGAGGAGATTCCATCCGATCTACGCATGCCAGCTTGTTTCCGTGGCCTCTTGGAGAACGGGATGGAATTTAGCTGGTCTTGGTGCCGTCGTTGTTTGTCGACTCGACGGCACGATGAAGAAGACGCATAAACGAGCCAAAATAGCAGCTCTCCGCGTTCATCATTGTGGTGAGACTCTCCCTCCCTACGGGCACGTTCGGCAACGGCCCGGACGGCTCACATACACAAACACCTGCAAAAGTGACAACATCATCTAAGTCGCTTCATTTTTCTTGGCGAACACGGTTCATGTGACTTTCTCCTGCAGGGTCGACGGGAACAGGAGGCCGAAAAAGCGCGAGCGGCTGCGGAACGGCAGCAGGGGTCTTCTCGTGAAAGTACGGGTGCCGGGGCTGAGGCGGTCAACACGTACGTGTGGTTTGGATGCGTACTATAAACTTTGGACTTGCTCGGAGGGGATGAAACGGACTTGTACTCTGGCGTGCTTATATTGAGGTTGCGCTAAGACATACATGAACAGTGTTCATTGGCCGAGTTTCCAGAATCTCAGACATGCCATGTGGTAAAAGCGAGCAACCCGGCTAGAGCAATACAATTAGCCCGACGCCATACCATTGTTTTCATGTTGCGGAATGAGCACACACTTTTTCGGCCGGCTAAGCTCCTCTTGTAACCAATTGTTGCCGAGCTGGACACGTGTCTGTCAGCAGAAGCGTTCTCCGGAACCAGCAGCGACAATCCCCAATGCATCCACAGCAGCCGTTGGTCGCTGTAGCCGAGACGCTAATTGTGTCTGTAGTCGTAGTCACCCCTTTCTGGTTGTTGCGGGCTGGGCTCGTCGTCGACACCATCAAACGTACCATATTTTCCCCTACCGCGTTACGGTGGTTTTCCTCTCTTAAGCCTACTTTCTCGGTACGCTACAATAGCTAAGTCTTCAGCACATGGCGCTGAAGGCTCCTCGAACGACTGTCACATCGCCGTGTGTTTACACCTGAACAGTGGTACCGTGGACACGTGTGTGTGTGCTTCCTTTCGCAGGAACAAACTCTTCAAGCGGTGTTGTTGTTGTTGTTGTTGTTGTTGTTGTTGTTTTCTTCACGTTAAACTCGGTGTGGTCAGGATAAACAGCCATTCCTAAGACCAATCCCTCCTCCTCAACCAATGTACTCAGACGTGTGGACGGCGCAAAACTTGAACGCGCCTCGGCTCCTCGCCCTACGTGCAGGTTACATTGACACCCCCCCCTTCTTTTAGCATTCATCCGTCCGGTGATGATACGGTGGTGATGTTTGCTCGATGTCTGACGCCTTGATGATAGCCGTAGCGGTAACGCGTGACTATTTATGATCGATTCTCACTTCCCGAGGTTCGTGGTGAATGCTCGTTGTATCGGGTTTTGTTTGTCTAGATGTATATCTGTTACACCCTAAACACCCGCGCGTACGCGATTGGCAGGGCGGTGGCGAGCCGGTTAGGGATGGACGTGCCGCACGTCATGTGCGTCGACTGCTTCTGCGTGTACGTCGAGAGCCGCGTCAGCGAGCGCATGCTGGTGACATCGCGGGACTTCGACGGCTACACGGTCGGCTGCCCCATGGGCTGCGCCGACAGCTTTATCGACCCTTCCTGCTTCGAGGTAGGCTGGATGGACGCATGAACGATGGGCACACACTCACCACTGGCTGAGCTTCTAAGTTACGTAGGCTTGAAAGGTTGGGGTAATACAGCGGATCCCTACCCGGCGAAGCACGATAAATAACGCGGCGCCTTAGGTTACGGTATGACATACCCTTGACCTCTCCCGGAACCCACGATTTCTCCTGGTTCTTCCGTTTCAAGATACATCTTTGCTTAACCTTGTGTCTAGTCTAGACCCCATCCCTTAGGTACGACGCCCCGAAACACCCGCTTCCACCTGCCGCGTCTGGCTGAATCTCCCCCCCCTGTCCACGACTACTGTACTACCTCGTCCGCCCAACGCCGGGCAGGAGGTCATGGGCGCAGAGTTCATGGTCAAGTACCGCCGCTTCGCGGCCATCCACCTGGCGTCCCACCTGCGCGTCGTGTGGTGTCCGGGCTGCCACTGCGGTGTCGTTCCCTCGGCGGCGGCCGCCGCCGCCGCAGGAGCGAGAAGGTCAAGCGTGAACCCTTTGCCAAATCTCCAACAGGAACAGATGGGGGCGGCGCGCTCCGGGGTAAGCAGTCTGTGGGGCGTGTGGGGGGGCGGGAGAGGGGCGGCGAGGTCGGGAGCAGAACGACAGGAGGAGGAGGGGGGGGATGGGACGGCGGCGCGACCCCGAGGGAGCTTTTGCATCGGATGTCCGGGCTGCCAGGCGTCTCTGTGTATGCTGTGCAGGGAGCTGCACGCTCCCGGTGTTAGCTGCGCCGACGCTGCTGCTGGTGCCGCTGTTGCTGAGGAGAAGAACGACGAGGAGGGTGGGAGTTGCGGCGGTGGTGGGGGGGGGGAGGGGAGCGGGGCAGCAAGGAGAGCGTCCACCGGGTCGCAAAAAGACGAAGAAGAGCTAGACGATTCACCGACCAAGAGGTGCCCGGGATGCCACGTGCCCATCTTCAAAGACGGTGGGTGAAGGCCGGCGCATACCCGCACACAACCAGAGACGCAAACGAAAGCAATCCTTCACCTTCCCCCCCCCTCTCTACAGAGAGCAGGAATTCCGAAACCGAAACATCATGATAGGGTTGTTGTCCCCTGTGCATCCGCGTCTTGAGGGGAAAACGCCAACAATATCTCGGCGGGGGGCTGCAACTCGCCGAGAATTTATGGCCCTCCCCGCCGGGGGGCACCGGCAACGGTTGCTGTGCTGCTTCTTTTGTGTCCCAGCTACGTTGTGTCTATACCTCAAACGAATGCCTTCGGTGACAGAGTCGAGCAGGGAAGGAGACGTGCACCCGTGACCTCTGTCGCGAGGGTTCGGGACAATGCACGAAGCTAGGTGTACGACACCAAGAACGTCCTTGTATCCATCATCGGTGGTCTCCCGAGGGCCCATTGTTCTCAGAACGGATCTAAGGATCGGTTCTCCCTCTACGCTTTGAGCGTGTTGTTCCAATATTCCTGCCATCTAACAACGAGCAGGAACTACCTTGCAGCAATCAGTAAAGTATCGCTGAAGAGGCAAACTGCCGAGAGGCACCGCCGACGACAGTTTGGTCTCGGTGATGCCGTTCGCCCTTCTACCCGCCGGGCAGTATCCATCAATCCCGTGAAAAACGCAACACCTGCTTATCTCGGTCAATCTCTGTCTATTTGGTTACGCAGGGGGATACATGTGGTCATCCGTGTGCCCCCGTGTGTACCGCTCGAGGCACGTGCAGAGTTGTCAACTGCTTACCTCGCCAATGCTTCTCTATTGACGACACTTTATTTCAAACCTTTGCCCTTTTCAATTGCATGCAGGTGGGTGCAACCACATGAAATGCTCCAGGTGCCACTTCGAGTTCTGTTGGCTGCACTTGACGGAGTGGGTCGAAGGGGGCGAGTGTCAGCGTGGGCACTGGTCGAGCAATCCGGCCCTCAACCGCGCCTACAACGCGCAGAGGATGGCGCGCGAGAGGCAAAGATGCACGATATCGTGAAGAAGGGACGAATAAACGACAACCACAGCAACAACGACAACAACGACAACAACGACAACCACAGCAACAACGATAACAACGATAACAAGCGAGACGCGCTAACCCCCTTCCTCCGGCCCCTTGGGGTAATCAAGGCTGATCCCGGTTCTAAGCAGAACTGCTGTGCTTTCGAGACAATCGGCACCGAACGGTGTTGCCGCTCCCAACGACACAATGGCAAGAAGGCCAGAACTTCGGGGGTAGGTTGTAAGAGGGTGCTGCGTTTCTTGTCTTTCTCGGTGCAGCCCTGCTTTCAGTGGTCGTACAGGTCGAACGCCAACACGTTGTGGAGCCTGGCGTGCGATGAGGGCTACCCCGTTGTGTGACACCACCGCGTAGGTTCTGAGGCCTGATTTTTTTTATCGGTAACATCAACAAGCGGCGTGCGTGCATGTGCCAGAAGTAAGGAATACGTGTTTCTTCGCTTTCTGGGGGCAGGGGCTAGACTGCGGGGTGAGTGTTGGTGCTGTGCCTGTTCGTGTTTGATCCTTGTTTTTCCTCTCAAAGCGAGTACGAGAGAGAAGTAGATAGGTAGGGAGGGAGAGCATCTGTTGACACGCCACGTGGAGTGCATGCCTGCAGAAAAAATGACCGTTTCATGGCGCCCGAAAGATAGATCCGAGATTCTGCGGCCACGGTTTTCCGGAGAAAACGTTATCTTCGCGTGGGTGTTTACCTGTCAGCGCAAGTCAACGCGAGATTCGTCTACCTACCACCCCCCGTAGCTGTAATCAAGCTGCCGTCATCTGCCTTGCACCCATGGTCCCTCCTTGCCCGCGCCGCCCCTCCATCCGCCGCCGATAGTAGCCTCCATTGGCAGAACCCCCCCCCCCCTATCTCTTCCCCCTTGTGGCATAGTACTCTATAGAGTCCTTCGAGATAGACTATCGAGCGCGCGACCGACCCCCCTTTACCTTCCAGCCTGAAAAAAGCCTTTCAGAGAGAACTTCTTCCTACTACAGGGGGTGAGGTCGTGTTCCTCTCGATCTGGAGGTAAGCCCACCGTCGGTGCTTCGTTTCGTTCGGGCTTGACTTGCGGGGGAATCCGAAAAACATGAGAATAAATAAACTGCGGCGGCGGGGCGATTTTTTTTTCTCCTTGTATCCGGAGAAAAAAGACGACCGCACCCTCCTTGGCAAGTGCCGTGGGCACGACAAGGTCAAAATCGCGTGTAGTATTTTGGGCGTGTGGAGGCAGATCACGTAAACGTGTGAGGAAATGAGATTTCGCGCGGAAGGGTTGACGACCCCAACTAGCCCTGAGTTTCCCCCGGCGGAGGCGGGAGGTGCTCCATTCATTTGCGTGTGACATACTCCGTGGTGCAAGGCGTTTGATCGCCGGCCATGGGCGAAGCTCCTTCGTCACGGAGGACCTTCCCTTCTCCAAACAGATACGCCAACATCAACAACGAGTCTACGGCACATACGAAATTCCAGTGGCTTTCTCACTACTGTGTAACGGTATTTGGAGGTAGACATGTGATCGTGGTTGATCATGGTTATTTGGCGCCGTCGGATGCTAGGGCGTGATGTCATGCTAGATCAGGGCTTTATGCCGAGACATGTGCCCTTCTGTTCGGTGTGTACGTACAGACGATCCCTGATCGTGTGTGCGTGGGATATTGTGAGTTGGCTTGGAAAGCGTGAATCAAGAGAAAGAGAACAACGGAAAGCAACAACAACCTGCTACTGTGGTCGGACAAGAGAGCTACACAGCACAAAGGTGATTAATTCTGGAGGAAGGGGTCAAACACCATTACAACTGCCCATGGTCCAGACGAAACGAACGCCAGATAAAAAAATGGTTTTCGTCCACATTGGCGAAAAGGTAACATCTCTTGACAGGCCCACTTCGTACACACGAAGCATAACTCTGGCAAATTCCCTGCTATATGATTCCAAGGAGAGACAGACAGACCCCTGCGGAGTGTGTAGATAAACCCAGTCGTGCAAGACGCCTTTGACCCTTCAGGAAATCTCAAGGGCGGTGGCGGTCGTTGGAGGCAGGGGGTTGGGTGGGCATGCAGCGGTGGGTGATGTTTTTACTTCGGGAGACTGTATGATCTTGTCCATCCATGCCGCGGAGCACGTTGTCATCGTTGAGCAATCTTTGGGCACCCGGTGTCGTCGCCACCTCGTCGAACAAGAATACCAAACAGAGTATAAAGTGGCACATTAACAACACGTGACGGTGGGGGGCCGGGGAGTCTTTCACACACACAGCGGTGAAACCTTAACCCTTCCCCTTTCATTTTGTTGTTGTACATCTCGAGAATTTTCGCACATACATGTGTTGTTGTGTCTCGGTGCACGTCAAGGCAGAAAGTATACCCCGGTGTGTCTGTTCTCTGCATCTGTACGTTTCAACATGACACGCGAAACATGTTGCATCGTTGTTGGTTCACTCGGCATGGCAGTCATAGCGCGACCGACCTTATTCGTTCTGAGGATAAAACTCGACCCCAGAAGGGGCATTTGTTTGCACCCCACCGGCGTGCAACAGAACAAGCAGGCGTGTTCTGCGCAGGAGCCGGCGAACAGAGTTGCAGTAGTCCTCGGTCGGTTCACACTGCGGTTGCCATGACGTCATCAACCTTCAGCGCTTGTTTGTTCAACAACATATCATGAACTTGGCAGGAAAGGGTGGCATCCACGAAAAACACAACGCGTGGATCGGCAAGCACGTGCTTCTTTCCTGTTGGCAATTGGGTTTTATTCAAAGTAACCTTGTTTTTTTGTTTGGTTTTTCATATTTTTCGTATCGCACCACGCTCCATCAACAACAACACGAACAATCAACGTCGACTTCCTCCTTCTAAGGCGATCACCACCAAAATTCCTGCGTATAATCTACCAGGCATCCATCAAGCTTGCCTGCCTCGTTTCAATACTTTATAGGTACTTGCACACAACAAATGAATTACCTCCCCCGCCCCACATACACCGGGTATTACAAACAAATTGCGGGACCATGGAGAGGTAACCGCAGTACTAGGCAACTTTGCGCAGCGACAGTCGGCTCTGCGCGTCGTGGGATACCTTTATTCTTACCGCACATCAATTACATCTAGGGATACTATACGTGTACTTGACACTTTGGTCCAACGCACGCAGAACTCCAAAGCACCATATAGGTACACATCCAGGGGAGGAGGGGGGGGGGGGGGGGGGGACCCCGGGAATTTTTTTTTGGATACCCAACCCAACCGGGCAATGGGGGTACCCCACCCAAAAAAAAAAAAACCTCCCGTTTAAATTTTAATTTCCGCCCAGGGGGGCCCCCCTAAAAATTTTTTTTTTTTTTTTTTCAAAAAGAAAACACCGGGGATGGAAATTAACCCGCCTTTTCACCA